TCAGGCTTAAATATTATATAATGTATATGTAAGTTTAACGAATTTAAAAATGTATGGTATTAAAAGATGACAAAATCTTTGTTTAAACGCGTTAATCTTTACAAATTTTATTTATAATTTACGACTAAACTGATTTTGAAAGGGCTTTTGTATCGTTAATTGTTAAAAAAAGTTTAAGCCGCTTAAGAGGTTAGAAATAAGAGTTTATTTATTTTTACAATTATATTTTTTTTCTCATAATTACAACACGGCGTTTTACAATATTTATTTATGTTTAATTGGCGATAATAGACTTATAATAACTTTGAGATGGTCAAGAATGGAATCCACGACAAGAGGAATATGATGTCCGACATAGTACATAATATATGCATAACCTATTTCTTAAAAGTTCTACGCGTGATTTTGAAGTAGCCCTATTTCTTTGAAACTGTGTTGGTCGTGGCCTCTCGACGATTATGACGTCTTTCTACCTTTATCGATAGTAACAAATCGTTTTTACCTCCACGGTCGCTACAGATGTCTTTGTCATATAACATGACATGTTGACAGTCTTACTGTCACTGTTGTTGTAAGCTGAGCGCTTTGTTTGGCCGGTCTATGTCGTTAACAAAGGGAATTCTAATCCACTTAAGATGAGATCTTAAGTCGAGACCATCAATAGCTTCTGTACCGCTAAGAAATTGGATCGAGATTGCCACAATGTACTTGGATTTCTTATTATTTGGAAATTCAATACTGCGAAACATTTGAAACTATTGTTGACCTCTGTTACTAAACGCGGTGCCCCGCATTGCTTTAGGAATCTTGAACATACAAATTCTTTAAAAAATATTGCAAACATTTCGTTCTAGCGGCCACACTAGAATTCCCTATGTCGTGGGTGGCTAGTCTCCTCCGGTGCATTAACAATTAACATAGAAGTAACTACATCCTAAGTTACCTTCTTCATAAAGCCACTTTTTTTTCCCGTCATTTATTCTTGACTTAATTACTTCAAGCTGTAATTCATTTTCAATTGTTAAGTTTAAAGTATTACTGATGTAAGTAATTTTCGAATGTCCAAAGCCAAAATGACGACAGCGCTTTTCTTTACCTACAGATTATTTGCCCGGGGTAGATATTTCATCTTCAAGAGAATTCCATCCTTGTCTCTCTTTCTCTGTTGTAAAAAACAATTTGAGTACATTAGTAAATATTATAACTTAATACCTATTTTATTCCATACAATTATATCATTTAAAAGAAAAACTAAAGTGTTTTTGTTTCGCTGTCATGGTAACGCCGGACACATGTAAATTTGTGGAAAATTAATTATTCTTTTCACCCATCTTCTTGCCAGCGCCTCCCCCACTTGTGCAGCTCAAATGAAACCGCTGCCTCCGGACATGGCTTGATGGATACCTTTTCAACATCTTTGTAGTCTGCAGTGCACTCTGAGACATGAAAAGAAAACGTATTATTATTTTCATAACATTATCACATAACTATGTTGCGTTAAAATCTATACTAACATATACATCTGAAGAGTTTGTTTAAACGCGCTAATCTCAGAAACCGAGGAACAGGAATCGAGAAGGGTTTTGGGTTTAAAACATTTGCGATGCAACAAATAGAAGCGAAGAAACAGCGGGAAATGTGGAAAAAAAAGGGGGGGGGGTATTATTTTATTTATCCTTGTGACTGAGAACGACCACTACAAATGGTGTTTAAAACTCAGTCGGGCCTTGAAGCTACAGCCAACAACTTACCGTTGCCTTACTAGTGCATCACGTGTTTGATTCTGTGTAATCGGTTTTTAATCCACTATTTTTACATTCCACAATTTTACAAATCGATTCCTAAAGTTGTCTTGAAGTTTCTAAAAACAATCTTCTAATAAAAAAGATATCTTGGTAAAAATTGGGTAATAAACAAATGAAGGTGTGTTAAGCAAAGTTTTCAGGTGTTTTTTCCTTCGTTTGAATAATTATTATCTTTGGTTTTATCGTACACTTCATTATAGTGAATATAAAAACCCAAGAGGTGTAATTTGGTCGTATAAGTGACTAAACTGAAGTCCTAATATCCGAACCCAAATAAGTTCGACAGCGCATCACACATCATCGTTATTTTATCTTCCATCAAACTTAATGCATGTCTATCATAAAATAATAATAAAAATTAAATTAAGTCAAGCGCGGAACAAAATTTCCCGCGCCATATTTTTCGCCGCGAGCGAAAAAATTGTTTCCCACTGTTTAGAAGGTTGTGATTTGTCATTAGTGGGAAGCAGCTAGTGGTCCGTTCACAGAGATGAGGCTTCATCCCGCATTTCCATATTATTTTGTTTGAGCCCTCTCTCCTCACTAACGAGGTCTTCTTTGAGAGAAAAGCCTTTGAAATTGGACGTCACCGCGACGGAATTATTTATATACCGCCGTAATTGCGCGACCCTTGATATTTATTTCATCTCTTATTTACTTTGGATTTCTTATTTATCCTATTTTATATAGGGAAATAAAACAAGTCGCTGGGTACTTAACACTATGAAAGCTACTAAATATTCCTAAATATGTTTTCGTTTTTCCTATAATATTTAAACTTGCCTGATCGACATAATATTAGTTTTTTTGAAACCATAGATATACAACCCCTATGATATAAATAAGCATGGTTCAGTTGATGACCATAGATAGCTTTATAATATGTATCTCGACAAGATGGCGGTCAACCTCATTTGGTTTAAGATATTTGGAAATCCACAGAATATAACCGAAACGCAATTAAAGTTAACGCCTTTTGTATCTGCGGATGGTGGTACCTCCCGTTTAATATTTTGTATTAAGAAATTGTGTAACGTGTTAAATACTGTCTGTTGTTTACGCGAGTAGTACACATTTAAATAAAACATTTCAACGATTAAAACACGATATATATAGTAAATTTTCGAAAATTAATTTTTAACTACCATCCCCCCCGACTTCTCCCCCTGACCACGGCTGCTGCAAAGCATCCGTAACGTTGGACATTAGTTAAAAATAAATTTTAAATAAGTTGTACTAATATATATCCCGTTTTGAACCGTTAAAGTGTTGTATTTAATTGTGATGTTACACAATTTACTACTTAATATTTCGAGCTTAATCTCGAGATTGCGTAGAGTTTCTTTTGAAAATGCTAATAAAAGGGATAAAATAACGACGATTACTGGTATAAATAATGTATCTAGTATAATATATACACATATATGTTATGACAATATTACACATATATGTTAATTCAAATATTGTATAAAAATTTTAATGATAACACGACATTAATTTCATAAAACAAACTTTTACATGTTCTACTTCGGTTCAAATTGATCTTTGACATCTTACAGAGCATACAAATTATTTATTGCACTATTAAAACAATTCAAATAGAGTGTTGTTATTTATTTTTCTATCGTTGAAGTCTTTTGTAAGGTTTTAACTTTAGGGTCAATTAAATCACACACTTAAAATAAATACTTATTCAATAACGCAGCTGGCCTATATGAGAAGATACACGAGGAAAGTAGAAGATTAGGACCGTGGACCTACCACGTTGTCTCAGTGGGCCTTGACGAGTTATGGCAACAGTAGTTTTATTTCTACCCTATAAATAGCTAAGTCGAGCCGATCAACGGCTCACCAATTGCAAGTTTTTAAGTACAAAACAAACAAAAATAAAAAATACTTTATTTTCACCACAATGATACAAAATAAACTTAATTAAAAAAAAACAAAATGTAGCGAAAATAGGCGGCCTTATCGTTAAAAACCGATTTCTTCCAGGCAACCTTGAAGATGGAGATTTACAATAATAAATGATAAAAAGGGTAACACTACAGCTATAATAAATCTAAAGCGCTGAACTCAATAATGCTACGCAGCACTAGCCCATACAGTACCTATAAATATGTTGTATGCAGCAATATCCAATATGATAAAATTAATGCACATATCAAATAATATTTATCGCATGAATTTCCCCATTATCATTTTTATTGCTTTTGATGTGGAAAATGGTTATGTTCACTTGTTGTCCTATTCATATGAATACATAAGTAAACTACATATTCTCGATTGGAATAATGATAAGATTTGGAAATGGGAAGAAATGTTAAGATGAAAATTATTAAAATAAGATTGATCTTGATCACTTTCTTACTTCTTAAATGTTTAGATTTGTAGTAGTGAAATCCCGTTTCTCCCCGATCACATTTCTGTGTCCGCTGTTCTTTTAAAGACAAGTAGTTGATCAGACTTCTGTGCCCTGCTCGACCGAAAGGATCTATAATTTCCCTTGAGATGCGAATCCAGAATCTCGTGCAATTAACGCATTGTTAGGCAACACGTTTAGCTATTTAGCGCATAGCGCGTAAGGTCCCATGTTCGTAGCCTGTCTATCAACACAGTGTGGTCCTTCGAGCCGGATATCATATTATATAATTATTATCTAACTTTGTTGTTTATTCTGCTTTTAAAGTACGAAGATGAAGGTTTTGAACGTTGTTTTAACGAGTTACAAGCAAAAGTTAAGCATACACACAGTTTTCACTCGGTTGAAAGAAATCTGATTAATTAGTTAAAAAAAAATCTTTCAGTGAAACAAAAATGTGTTTGTACGTGGCACGTAATAAAAACTGAGTTTCACACTTACTATACCTATATACTAGGCATACTTTTAGTCAAAAACACTCTGTTATCCATAAAGTTGATATAATAGTGCCGACTAGCTACTGAAATCAAAAGAAAGTTTTGTAGCGATTGCTCACTCCTTTCACAGTTTCAAAGCAAATAATCACGAAATTCAGTAGGCATCTAGATTTTCAGCATAAACAACGCAGTGTACATAGTGACTGCCATCAACGAATCAAAGCAGATCATTAACAAAATGGACAATAGCGGGGGTGAGGTAGATACCCGGGGTGGAAGTGGGGGAGAGCACTCTCCATGATTACTGCAGCCCTTAACAAAACTATTCGCATCAAGTCATTGTTTGCGCGGCGCGGGGCGGGCGGTCGTCATTACAGCTTCGTTACTGGGCGGATCTCCGTCGTTAGCTATAGACAAAGACTCAGTTATATGCCCGGCCATTTTTGAGCTGTAGCTCAAGAGATGTCGTGTTAGTGTGGAATATCGCCGATTTCCAGCTATTGCATCTTTAAGTTCTTGTAGTGATCGCTCCTTATGCGAGGGTAAACGACTTAGACACGTAACGCACCAGGATTCCGTCTCGTCTAAATAAACGCAATAAATATAAATTCAACTTTAAGTACTATTTTATGTTTTTATGATAGAGGACGATATACAAGCATAAGATTGACTCGATGTTAGGTAAAATATCCTAGACATATAACATCTAAAGAAAGATGCGCGGTCTACCTATTAAATGGATATTCGGAAACTCAGACTGAAATGGAAACGCGTTTAAAACTCACGGCTTTCTCATCTGTGGATTGTGGTGCATGATGATAATCCTACCACCTATTTAATATCAAGATTTCTAGACAAATTCTAACATAGTTCAGGAAAAATATAAATTGATGAGGAAAAATTTGGACCCGACGGGGATCGAACCTACGATTCGTTGATTGTTAGCCATAGAATACTACCATTACACAAACGAGCCCGTGCATTCATTTAATTCTTTTTTATACTCACGAACGCTCTTGATACCTACGAGACGATAAGTTAAACGTAACATCTTTCTATTACTAGACAAAAATGATACTTTCTTAATTCTCATATAATAAATGCAATTATATAGATGTACATTTGTACAAGATACACTTACTATGTACAAGTCATTTTCAGATTGAAAAATATGCACCAAAAATTCGTTCAATACGCAGAACAACTATAAAAGACACCTGTCGTCACTAGTTTTGTATGTTCTGTCATTTTAATATTATTTTTTATGTTTAAATAGTGTTAATAGCAAGAAATAAATAGACGATGCATTTTAGTTAAAAAACACACTTTTTACAGTTTAAAACAGGAAACATATTAATCAACCTACGTTTACTACGACCCAACGATTAAAGAAGCTTTCTTGGATATACTGTAGGCAATTTGACTTATGTCAAGGCCATTGGCAAATGGAAAAATCTAGATTTTTTAGTATGACAACGTTATTCATCTCCTAGACTATATTATGTACGTCTCGGAATTCTTGTTCGTTAGCAAATGCATTCCGTAATGAGCGTTTTGTGAGCAAATGTAAAAATATATCAAATGCACTATCAAGTAATGCAAAGTTGAGCTCAGAGCACATTCGTTAGCGGAGCGATTGCGAACCCCTATTTTATTTGAATTCTAGAATACTATACAACCAGTATGAACCTACTGTCACTTAATGTAGTAACATTCAGTAGGTTTACTAGAAACATAATATAACAGTAGGTTTACTAGAAAACTGAATCACATTTATCAAGTAACACTGGCGACACATCGTGTAATTGTCAGTGATAAGATAATTTTTGGAGTCATTTCGATCTAAAATAATCGTAAATTTCTTTAACAAGAATTGTATGCTCAAAGCATATATAAAAAAGATTGGTCTTTAACCCTACTTAGTTCTCCTTAAGCCTTCTATTCTACAGTAGGTATACTAATCTATATTGTCAGATGACAAGTCGTTATTTGGACTTGGAGCGATTTTCTATGTTTTTTTTTTCACAGAGGAATCTCATTCTTTTATACACATTTTTTGGGAATCTTGAACAGTTTGCGCAGCGTACCTGTCGGAAATCCAGAAAGATTAAGTATTTTCCCACATTTTATCCACATTCTCCGCTGTCCGCTACAAATAGTCACATTGTGATGTTTTATAGCTTATAGCCTTCCTCGATAAAAGCTCTAATTACCACAAAAAGCATTTTTTTAATTAGAACCAGTAGTTCCTCAGATTAGTGCGTTCAAACAAACAAACTCTTCAGCTTTCAGCGTCACGAAAAACTTCGGGTGTGTACTTGGAGCCACATAAAATCTTGTCCATCATATAAAATCGCGTCATCTTATTCAATGTTGTGTCCTTCCTCGCATATCCTATAACGAGCGTTGTAATCAACTCGAGGCGTGCAGTACATACTCTGGGGAATAATACGCTCACTGCGGCGTTATGTAGATACACCATAATGACGTTCCTAGCTTTCCATATAACTCAAACACATACTTTATGTCCTGGGCGCTATGTATTAGGCTGAGCGCTTTGTAATAATGCAATTCTAATTTTCATGCATTTTCCACATAGATTTTTTACATTTCAGTTACCATCCATGGGTGTAAGTGTGGCATTTGAAAATCGTAACGTTTAGATTAAGATTTAAACAGTCAGGATTTATACTTTTAACTAAACGCTGTTAGCTGCTTCTTTTTTCTACTAATGCAGCTGACATGAGAATATTATGCAATTTAGAGAAATGTTATTTATTTATTTATTTCATTATAAACAGATTCTACCATTACAGAAAAATTCCATTGCGATAGACTTATTATATACATATTTCATAGAGTGATGTTTTTGTCAATTCACCCAAGCTGCACGTAAAAATGTCGATTATAACTCAATGGCACTGCTAGATCGCAACATTGTCAGTTTATTTATTATTTTTATATTGACAGTTTATTTTCTTAAATATACAAGGCCAGAAATAGGTCGACGACGCATCTTCTAGAAATTCATTCATTCAGACGTTATGTGGCTAACATATTTTACTTTTCAATAATTCTAACGCGTGTATGTGTCATACTGATTGTAATCAAATTATTGAAGGACAAAGCTGAGCTTTGAGGATAATAAGATAAGGAAATAGCCTTAGTTGCATTTTCCTCAGATTTTAATTCAATATCTTAATTCGTTAAACCTCTAATATCGCATTGTGAAGCGAAGTCCTTTGAATAAGTTTAAAGTGAAATTGGACGAAATGAAAGAAATTACGCCCGATTCAGGGCGGGCGGAGGCGGCCCCGTGAGGCGACAAATTGTATAAAACCCACTGCATTTCTTATGTAAATTGCATAAAATCTAACACACAATATGAATACATTTTCCACTCCGGCTTGTTGCTTTTTAGTGAGTTAGGTATATAAAAATTAAAACTTATTGACAAGTAAAGAAAATTGTATCTATACAAATAATATGTTTTATTACGGTTAGTTTATTATATTATAATTTTGCATATATTCAATATTATAAGTTTGTATCTAAATGTTAACAGTCTGCGATTATAGGTCGTTGACGTATCGGTTTTACTTGTATTCCTTCTTTTTATCTGTATTATACAAGGAATTGACAATTTTATTATTAAATACTGTCTATAGTTTACGCGAGTAGTACACATTTAACGGTGGTCACGGGGAGACACGGCTGCTGCAAAGCATCCGAAACGTCAGCCGAATTTAAAAATCATTTTCAAATAAGTTTAACTAATGTATATCGGGTTTTAAACCGTTTTAGTTTAGTGTTTTATTTAAATTTTTTTACTTGCAATAATTGGACGTACGTGGTACGAAATTATCTTCAAATTTTCTTAGTTTGTTCAGTGAATTTTTAGAAGACATACATTCTAGTTAAACAAGTTTAACTATCGCTTAGTTTAGTATATCGCATTTTAAACCGTTAAGGTGTTTTATTTAAACCATAATAACAAACAAAACTTCTTTCAGAAGTAAAAAATAAAAAATGAAAAAGGCAAGACTTCAGTTGTAAGTTCTAATTTCAAGTGAGATACATCGAATTAAATAATAATGTATGCTTCTTTGAGTTTTCCTACATAAAAGTATAAGCACAAATTAGTTCCATATAACAGAATAATAAAATCGAGGGTATTTTCGAAGTTAATAACATTACAGTACCATAAAGGTGGCACGTTTTCGCCCTCGCATGTAATAACGTAATAGTTCGTCCCACACTGATTGGATAATACACGCTTTGGCCCAAGCGGGGGATTCAAGTTAGGGTAAGACCGAACAAATTATCGAATTATCGCAGCCATCTATAAAAGTTAACTGAATTATTGATATTATGTTTCCTTTTTCATAAGATGTAAAGGGAAAATTATGATTAGACAGTGTACATCGTGTGGAGTTTTATACAGGGTAAAAAAAACCGTTAAATATAAATTAATTCATCATAGCCCAAACTTTATGAAAACTAAAATCGATTTGGGATCGAAAAAATTAACTTGACTTGAACCGGCATCCATGTTCCATGCTATAGCTCTAACCAAGCTACCGATGTGTTAAACTACCTTCCATCGTCAAATTTTTTTCAACGTATTGATACTTGCACCTCTGGCTTTTTATCAAAACCGTGGCTTTAAAAATGAGTAGAATAGAATTGGAAGGTTCTTAAATATGTCGAAACTTCGTATGAACGTACTAAATAACTTTCAAATAAACAAAATACCGATAAAAGCGAAGACACCGTGAGTCAATTCTGCAAGGACCCGGCCAGTTTCGCCAAATACCAACTTCGACGGAACAGATGGCGCTAGCGTAGCTATTTTCACTTTGACGTCAGAGACATCCTCCATCTTGTCTTCCCGTGAGCACGGCTGCTGCAAAGCATCCGAAACGTCAGTCGAAGTTAAAAGTCATTTTCAAATAAGTTTAACTAATATATGGCGTTTTAAACCGTTAAAGTGTTTTATTTAAATGTGCACTACTCGCGTTAACTAGAGACAATATTTAAATAAATCCTTGTAATTATGTAATGATAATAATCTTAATATATCTTAACATAACAGGTTTTAAAAACAAAAAGACTACAATTAATAAAGATTTACTAAAAATCAAAAATAAATTGAAAAAAAATTCCGACTCGGGCAGGACTTGAACCGGCATCGTCAGCGTTCCGTGCTGTTGCTCTACCGAGTCCTACACCTCATCATCGATTTATTTTCAATTTATTGATACGTATGCACCTCTCGCGCAATAACATGTAAAAAATATTAAAGTTTTCAAAGATTTACTATATAACTTAAAATACATAGCAACTATATAAACGTACTCTTCACGCGAGGTACCGTCAGCAAATTAAGTAGTAGCTTATTGTTTTTTTGTCTGAAAATGATGAGAGCTTCCTTTTATGAAAATAAATAAAAAGCATTGATTATAATATTCACGACGACAAATAAACCTGTAGGAGCGGCTTCAATTTGTACGGTCTCATTCCTTTAGGTTTAATTTTAGAGTTCCGCGTTAAATGAATTTGTAGTATTATGCCTGACTCATAGTAAAAATGTAATAACAGCATAATATATTTACGAACTTCGCAGTGGTGTTAGTATTTCGCTACAGGAACCATTATGTAAGGTAGGTAAAATATTTTTCACTCGTAATTTTTTTCAGATATAAAAAAAATATTTCTAATATTGAACCAAAAAAAACTGTTATCGAACACAAAGCCTGCCCATGTATTAAAAAAATGTAGATTATACTACTTGAGTTCTACTAAGGTAGCTAGATAACTATTCGTATTTTCAAGAGTATATAAGAGAAATATAATTGTATCTTAAAGTAATAGTATATTGTGTGAATTATCTGATTAAAGATATTTGTGTCTCTTATTATAGTAGACAACAGTAAATTCCCTTTACGATTAAAGGAAGATCTCACATATGGAGGTTCAGTTCAATAAAAGTACTGTACTGTAACGCGCTACGGAACCACAAACTAAAGCAGCGTCTATTTTGCGATATTT